CAGTAGGTTAATGATTTATTTGAAATGTCTATTTCTATTTGTTTACTTTTTAGGCTTGCCTGGCCAGCCAACCTCACTCTCTTCAGATTCTGTTTTATCAAACAAAATTGTCATCTCATGGAGTGAACCTACTGATCTAGGGAATAGAATAACAGGGTATGTTGTTAGGTGGCGGAGTGCTGAAAAAGCTGATTATCAAGAAAAAGTAGTTACAGGGAGCAGATCTGCGACACTTGATAACCTAACACCCTACACTAGGTATGACATCCAAGTGAGAGCAGAAAATGATAAGGGACATGGCCCTTGGTCAGTCTTACTGCAAGAGAGAACACACGAGTCCTGTGAGTACTGACATTGATTTCTATAACAAGGTGACTGCACACCTTACTGAACCAGTTCCCTCCAAACATCCTAGTTAAGCAGTTCCCCTTACTATCTGCCATCCAGTTCTTGTGATGTTAGCTCAGAGATTTGACATGGGATCAGCTAAATAATCCCTTCATTAGGCACACAAACGTTCTTCAAAGTTATGTACAAAGTAATTATTAGCAGACTAAGAAGGGTCTTGTCTAGAGGTTAGTCTTTTTAATTTATGGAACTTTCTAGATGTGGACATTGTGTTTTCCACATGTACTTGTGAACTCAGAGACCCTATGAGCACTGTGCATCCTCTACAAATGTATAATTGTATGTTAATGCCACACAGAAAAGCTGTCAATACATAATTGTAGAGTGTACTTGTATTGTGTGACATCAAGACAGTGTCTTATACACATCAACAAATAGGCAAGACATATCATGGAAAGTGCATGTTTATTTATATACAAGTAATGCAATCTTGATGTAAGAATTGTTTTTGTGCAGTAGTATTTCATATCACATTCACCACATGGCTTTCAAGTGTAAATTGTTTTGACCTTAATACCATCTTTCCTGTAATAAGTGTTCTTGTTCTTATGAGCTCCCACTCCCTAGTTCATAATGTCAAACGAGTGCCTATTATCTCAAACAAGTTCCCCTCCTTTTCTCTCACTCTCTTAAAGAATAGGGATGAAAGAAAAACCTGTTTTCATCACTACTTTATTTATAAATTTTAAAGCTTCAATTACAGTAGAACCAGTACAGGAGAATAATGAGTGCCCCCCCCCCCTCCTCTTGATTACGGGCC